TGGGCACCGGGCAGCAATAACCATAGTAACCTAGGTGGGATCTCAGGGGAAAACCCTGACCCTGGTCCCGGCTCTTGGGGCCACCGGTAGTTAGACCCCTCTGGGACCATGGCAAGGCCCGTTAGGGTTCGAGTCCTGATCCGAAATTTCGGCCAAAGCCAAAGTGAAGAGCAGGGCGTACCAGGGAGGATCAGTCTTTTAGCCAAGGTTCCCCTTCCAGCGCCTAGCGAGAGAGGGGTCCAGGTTCCCAAACTATCAGCAACCGGCAACAGCCTTCCGGGCTGAGAGGGGCGGGGCCTGGCGGGAAGGCGTGATCTTGGTTGCTACGGTAACGCGTCAACATCCAGGGCCTTCGTGCAGGTGCCGGCGGCAGAGGCGGTGGAGGCCAGGAGAAAGGGCGTGTGGCTGAGATGGTGAGGCCCCGGGTGGTGCAGGAGAACTTCAGATGGGGGCCTCATGTGTTCTGAATTGGGTTAGGATTCTGAGCCGGGAATGTGGGGGCCTGGGGGAGGGCAGAAGTTGGGTCGGGCCGGCCCAGTGCTGTGGGTTTTTAAGGGCTGTACTTTCCTGCCTTCAGAGTTGGAGTACCAGTCTCAGTGTTATGCTTTGTTTTCGAATAAAAATAGTTTTATTATTTTTCTGGTCATAAAATAGTTACCTACTCATTGTAGATAATTTATGCAATACGATAAGCACCGTAAAGGTCATCTGAAATTACTGCTAAACATTTTTGTGAACGTTCTTTTAATAAAGCATTCTGGGTGCATACCCTCCATACAAACATTTTTACAGGAATGTTTCTTATAATCTGTTTTCTTTAAAACTTAACAGGGTATAGAGTTGTTCTTATATCAATGGCTATAAATCAAAATCATCATCTGTTGGACCAGCTAATCTTTCTGCATCATAGTCTGTCATAGAGCTCCTAGCTGTGGCCAATTTTTTTTTTTTTTGGCAGGGGTTGGGGTGGGGGGTTGACTGGTATGGGGATCTGAACCCATGATCTTGGTGTTATAAGGCCACATTCTAACCAACTGAGCTAACCAGCCAGCCTTGTGGCCAAATTCTTGTGCTCCTGGGGTGGGACAGTTTAGGAAGAGATGGGGAGTCAGCTGAGTCATCAAGAATGAAACTATCAAAGCAGGGCTGGCCTCTTTATTTGTTCATTCCAGTCCTCATCTTCCCCAATCCCTTTTGCCTCTTCAGCTATTAGAATCCAAGGAGAGCTGCCTTCCCTTCAAGAGCTGCCTCCCCCAGAGTAGGACTAGGCACTGCTCAGCTTCTGGTGGATATTTATTTGGTCATGCAGGAAACAAAACCAGTCCTTCATCTCCTCAAAGAACCTCCTGGCTACTGCCTCTGGCCCAGCGGGATCCAACTTTCCATTTCTGCTTGGTTCTTTATTTTTTTAGTAGTTTTACACAGTGACCTCCCTAATACTTCTTGTTACTCTTGGCAAAGCTGGTTATTCTAACCCTGGTGTAAAGGCTTGTGGCTTCTAACTCAGCATTTCCCAAATGTGGTTTTCTTAGCCACCCAACTCTAGAGCTCAGAGCTTCCCTCTATCCTACCCAGTGGCCACTTTTCTGTGGTCATCTGTTTTCCTTCCTCTGTTCTGACTTCTAGGCTCAGGCAGTCAAGTATCTCTTGTTGTGACTTCCTCTTGACCTCGGTAGCAAGGGCATAGGAAAGAGGAGGCATACTATCAGCTGCGAAGCAAACTGCAGTCTGATAGGCAGCCGAGCACAAGGGTGAACCTGTAAAAGCCCTTGAAAAGAAACAAAAAAACATATGCAAAACAATAATAATAATACTGTCCATCTGTACTGCTAAGCCCTTTCACATGCATTATTATTCACAGTGCAGACCACGTACGTGATCTGGAAAATGTGGAATGGTGGAGTAACTTGGAGGCAGGCAGGCGTATCCATGAAAGGCATCCATCTGAATCTGATCTGCAGTCCTTGGAGGTCATCTTGCCCAGTTTCATTCATTCGTTCATCATCAGATGCATATTGAGTTCCTACTCTGTGCCAGGCACTGCACTTTTCTGCTTAATTACATACAGAACTCACACCACCCCTCATGATCCAGAACCTTACACCTCTTCCAGTTATTCCCAATGCTTAGCCTCCATCTCAGGATTTTTGGTGGAAAGGGGAGCAGTTGCTTACTACCCACTTTCAGAGGCTGTTATTAGGCATCCTCGGGGCTGCTATATTTACCTTTTTATAAACCCAAGCCTTTTCTGCTTTGCTGTATTGGGGCTGACTGACGATGTAAAGGGAGGCTCCCTCTGTAAGCCTTTTGCTGGCTGTGCCAGGCAGTGAGGGAAAGGTGCACACAGCAGTGCTCATTGTACAGAACAGAGTCAGCTGGAGAATAATTGTCCAGTGTAGTGTGAAAACCTGATGCAGGTGGAACAGGTGCTAGAAGTGTCTGGTTGGTAGTGGCAGATTAGAGAGTGCTTTCAAAACAGTGTCCAGTGTTTAGTGACCTGGAATGCATGGTCCTTTTCTCTGTCTACCCTGTCCCCTTAGTGTTGCTGATTCCCAGGCTTGGGGAGACCCAATTAGTCTAGAATATTCCCCCCAAACAGCCCAGCTTAGAGAACTGAGGAAGGTAGGGCGGAAGGCGTGGGCTTCTCCAAAGTGAAGTTAGAATCAGCTTTAGAGTAGGCCTGCCTGGAATTATCCAGTAGTCCTGCAGGAACTGCCTCGTCTAGAATATTCCCCCCAAACAGCCCAGCTTAGAGAACTGAGGAAGGTAGGGCGGAAGGCGTGGGCGTCTCCAAAGTGAGGTTAGAATCAGCTTTAGAGTAGGCCTGCCTGGAATTATCCAGTAGTCCTGCAGGAACTGCCTCCTGGAGATAGGCTTCTACTCTAGAGGTTGAGCTGAAGCTGGACTGACCTTTGGGAATGGAGGTCGTATTAGCGAGGGTTCCTGGTTAAAAGCAATAAAGCCAGAACTCTAATTTAAGTAGAAGGAAATGAATTAAGGGGATTTTGTAGAGCTCACAGGCTTTACACCAAGGCCAGGAAACTAGACTTGGAAAAGAGGGACAGAGGGAGGCTCTGAAACCAGAATCAAGGACAAAATAAAAACCTAGAACTGGTCTGGCAAGGATCCTTGATGCACGGTGGCACCCCCAGCACTGCCAGCTTTGGATGTGGGGTGTTGCTGCTGGTATCCTTATCAATGTTGCCCCAGACACTGGGTATGGCTGCCACTGCTGCCCCTGTCAGGAAAGTTTTCCTTGTTCTGCTTCTTGAATTATTAGTTCCCTAGTCACTGTCAGGCTGGGGTGGTCTCATTGGCTAACCCTAGGTCCCTCGGCCAGGCTGGAAAGGCAAATATATGGTGTTTTCAGCTTCTGTAGTCAGAGATGAGCCCTTACTCCCACAACTCATTAGATAAGGAATTTACCAAACATAGAAAAGTACTGGGTAGGGTGGAGGGGAGGGTTAAAAATGGCTAATGCACTAAAGGGGTCCTGGGAGTGAAAGAGTCACATAGTAGATATTATGAATGGGTGCCTGGTCATAGCTGGTAATCATGCATCATTTATCCACTGAACTTTATTAGGCATCAACCACATGCCAAACTAGGTGGAGTGCTTTTCCATCCTCTCCATCCTCTGGTCCCCACTGTAACCTTGAGAGAGTGCGGAGACATGAAGGAGGTTGAGCAGTAGTGTCATTGATGAAGGGAACTTGGAACTCAGGCTGACAAGATTGGAGGCACAGAGGATACTATACATTCCTGGGGAGGCAAGCCCAAACTGCCTCGCAAGACATTGTCCTTGTGGGAAACTGGAACCAGGCAGACAATGAGGTGAAATTGTTGCTTCTTTTCTCCTGCCATCTTGTTTCCTTCAACTTGCCTTCTGTACTGTGTGACCGACTTGCCGTTTTCAGCTTTAGGGACTTTGGAAATGCTCCTTCTCTTGGGGTTAGTGTGTCTTGCGCCTACCCAGAGAACCCCCCACTTCTGTGGAGATGTTGTCTGTCTGTTGATCTTTGCTCCCTATGTTTCTAGGTTC